CCCCCAGGGCTGGGAAGGGGTGCCTGCTAGCAGTGTAAAGATGTATTTTCCACAATTTAAGTAAGACCCGTTTCTCAGCCATTCCTCACACTCAGGAATCCTACATGTTTATTCTTTCTGATTTTAAGATTCTTAACCTGTGACTAAAAGAAAATGGGTCAAACCCCATCCTACCCAATGTCAGGGGATGTTCTCATTCTTTGGGAGTCCTTCGCATTGCTTACTTTGGGTGTTTGCCTAAAGGAAGTTAGGGATTGGAAAACATCTGGCTCTACAGATTTGGGGAGGCAATTCAGTGTAATTTGTTGGTAATAGGATTTGATCTGTGCTAAATCTGAATGTCTGTGTTATTTCAATGGATTTAATGAAGTTTTGTTTGTTGTTGAGATATGTGCAATGTCCCTCATCCTGTCTTCTGGGGACCCCAGGTGGGAGTGATCAGGCAGGCTGATAATAATAGTATGCTTTATAAGGAGGCATTACTTTGTCAGGGAGTTCAAATATGATCTCATTAATATCTTACCTTGGGGAAAGCTGAAGGGAGAGGAGATGAGTTATTCTAGAAGGAAAAAACCCATGTGTGAAAAGAGTTATGAAATAAGGACCAACCTCACCAATGCTACCTGTGGTGGTAAGTTTCCAAAGATGGCTCCCTCAATGAGTCATGCCTTGCATTATTCATGCTTTGTGTACTTCTGATTTCTTGCATCTGGCAGGTTCTGTGACTTGCATTTGACTGATGAAATATGGCAGAAGAGACACTGTGTGACTTCTAAAACTGATGCATAAGACATTTTACATCTTCTTCCTGGGGCTCTTGAAATGCTCACTCTTTGGACACTTAGAACCCAGCTGCCACGTGGTGAGAGGCCCCAGCCACAGGGAGAGGACACACACAGGTGCTTCAGTGAACAGCCCCAACTGAGCTCCCAGCTAGGATCCACTGCCAGCCTTGCGAATGGTCATCCTAGATTTTCAGCCCAGGGGAACCTGGGGACAACTGAGTCCAGCTACCCTCTGACTGCAGAAGGATGAGATGGTGTAAGTGATCACTACCCACTGAGCCTTGTTCACCTACGGAACTGTCAGACAAATTAATAGATTATTTTAAGCCCCTAAGCTTTGGGGTAGCTGATTACATAGCCATAACTGATCAGAGCACCACGCTCAATGTTTGAGTAGCTGCTGCTCAGTGGAAACTAAACCTAGTCCTCTTGGAGCAGCTGTTCAATACTGAGGATCCCTGAACAAGCTTTTGCTGGTGCTTTACGGAGACAACCTCCACACTCTTCCTCTCAGCAATGGATTTCCCTCTTTGCTTCAGAAAAGGCAAGTCTCCTCTGGATGGGAAGGAAGCATGGTGGTTGTAGGGGCAGGAAAAATAAAGTGGGGAATAAGAGGCAACTTTATCAGGTAAACCCATAGTAGGAGACAGGCTGTAAGTTTAGATACCCATAAGTGCTAGTAAGGCAACAGGATGGAACAGCGAGGGTGTGAGACACTAGGAGTGGTGGAGACTGTGTTGAAATAGTGAGCACACGACTATGTGAAGGGGCAGATACTACAGCCCAAGACGGCCACTGTGGCCATTGTGACCTGGCTGTCTCATTTTCAAAGTGAAGTTAGAAATCCATTTCTACTTTAAAAAATTTATTTTTTTAATTGGTGGAAAATGACTTTATGATTTTGTCTGTTAGTTTATGCCATACAAGGCAAATCAATCATAATTATATATATATATATACATATATATATATATGTATCTTCCTTCCTTCCTTAGCCTCCCTCCTCTCCCTCATTCCACTCTCTAGATCATCACAGAGAGCCAGGCTGGGCTCCCCATGTTACTTAGCAACTTCGCACTAACAATCTATTTTACACATGACAGTGTATATATGTCAATGCTACTTTCTCAATTCGTCCCACCCTCACCCTCCTCCTCTGTGTCCATAAATCCATTCTCTCCTAGGTTCATCAGTACCATTTTTCTAGATTCCATATATATGCATTAATATATGATACTTGTTTTTCTCTTTCTGGCTCACTTCACTCTATATAAGAAGTTTTAGGTTCATCCACCTCACTGCAACTGACTCAAATTCATTCCTTTTTATGGCTGAATAATATTATACAAATGTACCACAACTTCTTTATCCACTCATCTGTTGATGGATATCTAGGTTGCTTCCATGTCCTGGCTATTGTAAGTATTACTGCAATGAATATTGGGGTACATGTGTCTTATAGAATTATGGTTTTCTCAGGTTGTATGCCTAGTAGTGGGATTGTTGGGCCATATAGTAGCTTCATTCCTAGCTTTTTAAGGAATCTCCATACTGTTTTCCTTAATGGCTGTTATCAGTTTACATTCCCACCAACAGTGCAGGAAGTTTCCCTTTTCTCCATTTCTTTAATGTAAAAATTTACTGTGTGTGTGGGTTTTTTTTAACACTGGCAATGAATTTTAAATATTTTTAAGCACTGTATAAATACAAATACGTGGGACTCCAAGGTCTGCTAGTTTGATGTCTCTACCATAGATAGGAGGATGAAACCCAGGCCAGCCTCATTTCAGCGCCCCTGTCCTCCCAAGGAGAACAATCGTACTCTTCAGTGTACTATGGTTTACAAAATGCTTTCGCTTCCACATTTGACTTGAACTTCTCGACCAGGGACTTTTTTTTAAGGTAAATAGGCCCAGGGAGGTTTGGGGCTTTCCCTGAGTTAATGCTGCTCTGGGGGGTGGGGGGGTCTCCGGATGAAGAGGCAGAGGGAAAACTGAGCTTAGGATGATACAGTCAATTCCGGGCAGCTGAGAGGCAGAGAGGAGGCAAGATGAGCAAGGTGAGGAACTGCTCTGGGGCCCCTCTGAAGTTCCCCAAGTCTTACACTATGGTCAGGACTGACATCTCTGACTCTCTTCGGAAAAACAGGATGAATGCTGGTGTTGCCAGCTGAGGGCTGGGCCCTAGAAGATCTCTCTCCTTGTTGCCTGTAATTACTGAATCTGAATAGCTTCGACCTCAGGTTCAAGGTTCCCCCTGGAACTTGGAGAGAAAGGGGAAAGCACATCCTCCACATCCAGTCCCTCCTTCAGACAAAGGAGGCAATGGTATGGATTGCTTATGCTCACATCCCCCTCCCCAGGACCCACAGGCTGGAGGAAACCTTTGAATCCACGCATCTCCTGTGGCCGCCAGGTCTGGGTGCACAGGTGGGAAAAATCTTCATTCAGACAAAATGCTCGATTTAACCCAGAAGGTTCTAGTTTCCTAATGAATCGAGGAGGCTGCCCAGGGGCCAGACTGTGAACTCCCAGTTTGTAAAGGACTTGGTGAGGGCTGGTCACTCGGCCACTAATGAACACACAGCCCTCCTTCAAGGCCAGCTCTTCCCTCAGTGTTCCTGTTGCACACAATGCCACACACAGAAAGGAAAGCAGCACAGAAAAAAGGAAAAATAAAAAGATTTCAGATTCTCTTTCTCTATTCTCCCTCCTTCCCGGTCAGTATTTTTCTCCCTGGGGATGGAAGGCACACAGGTGCCCTCACCACCCACGCCCCACCCGCCGCACCTGCCGCCAATCTTCTTCCCCTCCTAGGGTAGTGACCTGGCTTTAATGCAAATAGAAAAAAAACCATAGGGACGCTTTTCTGCGAGGCTTGGTGGAGCGGATGCGCCTGAAGCTTAGCACATCCGGGTACCGCGCTCAGGCTGCCCATGTGAAAGCCTCACAGCAACAACGCCATTGCCTGTTACTTTCCCACTGTCCCCTCAGCCGCTGGGATCAAAGCAGATGACAGACAGACAAATGGTGACCTGTCCAGTCTGGCTGTTGGATGCACCTGGCTCCCGGCAGCACTCACGGGAAGGGAACCTTACATCTATGATGGACAACACGCCAGGTGCTTCCACCGCATTCTCCTGTTTCAGCTTCTCTGTAGCCGAGAGTCAGACATGGCTGTGTGTGGTTCATCGGGGAGAGGCCGTGCAGGTGGTCCAAGATCGCACAGAATATAAGTGGTGAAAGCACGTCTGTGAACCCAGGGCAGTCTGCATCCCAGGCTGTCGGCGTTTACCAAGCTCAGGCCACCGAGATAGAAATCTGTCAGCCCCACTCTTCCAGGGCCAGCGCTAGGGCACGGCTGTGCACGCCGTGAACCGCTGGCCCTTGGGGCAGCGTCCTCACCGTCTCTGCGAATGGCACATCAAGAGTTGTGTGGGGTGCATCCTGTACCCCTGAGGTGGCAGCCCTGCTTCCCACCACAGCAAAAGTAAAATTTTGTTAAGTAACAGATTCTCTGTTGGAGGTTGGCTGGGATAGTGTTTTAATCAGCTACCCCAAATTTGGACGTCTAAGAATTCTAAGAAATAACGCAATATTTTTATTTGGTTTAGCAAAAATTCCCGTTTTCAAGTTGTTGTTGACTGCTCCACGCCCTGGTGTTTATGGAAGTTAATTTAGAACACCTGCCTCGGAACCAGAAGGCATCAAGTCTTACCTTCTGGGAGTTGAACTTGCGGTGTGAGAGACTTGCTCAGCTGAACTGGAGAATAAGGAGTCATTCCCTCCAGTAGGAAAAACAAAAAACTAGGTCTTAGGTAGGGCTCCTCAGCTCCTTTCAGTGGCTCCTCTCTGAAGCTGGTGGGGGAGCCAGTGTTTCCTGGAGGGACGGATCCAACTCTGCCAGGAGTCTGACACACCCTGCAGGCTAGCCTAGGGAAGGAGCGCTGTTAGCTGCCTGCATGAAATCCTGGAGGGAACTTCCTAATCAGAAGAGAAGGGCCCTGGTGTCAGGCCCCGGGAAGGGGGCAGTGGGAATGTGTGAGGAAGGTATCATGTCTGAAAAGAGTGTGATGAGCCAGGCAGGGATTTTAATATTCACGTCAAAAAGGGTTTTAGATGCATCATGGGCAATAATCTGCTTTAATTAATTCAATTTGCCATAAAAGATGCCACTTTTTATATGACATGTGAGAAAATGCCATGCTTACCTTGCTCAGTTAGTACCGTGGCTTTCTGTGGCCAGAACCCACTACACACAGAACCCCTGGGGTCAGGTCACTGTAGCTGGTGGGTCTGCTGGGACGCTGTTTAACCACATGGCTCAGGTCACTATAGACTGGGTCTGTCTCTCTGGGAAGATGCTCCTGCAGGTCCACTGCCTCATGGGGAAAAAAAAATTGATATCCAAACGCATGACTATAAATTATCCCTTGTTTCATTTCACTTTCTCCTGATGCCTGTCAAGCCACCAAGATAAAGAGAGCTTCCTCAGCCTAGCAAGCCTGTTATCCTGAACCCAGCCAGACAATCCACATTCAGTTCCCTTAACCATCCCATACCTCCTGTTTCCCAGTGCACATCATTAATCTATACAAAGCACATGTCGCCCCCAAATAATTGGCAAATGTCCTCTCTCAGCATAGTCAGTGGGATCAGATAAACAACTGGAAATTTAGCCACTCCACTTTCTATCCCGTAGAGATTAAGAAAAAATTGCACATCTAGGAACAATATGTGCAAAGGTGGTCTCCTGGCAATTTGCAGCCAATTACAAGTGTACATTGCTTTGCACAATGGATGTGCTACTGAAAAGGTTATATGCAAATCGAATTTTTGTAAATTGAATTATATTTAACATGCGCCAAGGGAACTGGCTATTTTAGGGACACCAAAGTTGAATTCATTTTGTGGAGCAGGGAACCCTTTGTAAAGCAAATTATCATCCTTCAGTTCATATATTCTTTGATAAGGTCAGGTTTTATTATTTTGGACCTTTTTGAACTAGAGCATACCTACAGTGTTAAAATGGTAATAATAGGATATTCAGATCCTTTCCCAAATTCTAGAAGTAAAAGGAGAGAATGAAAACTAACTTTGATTCTACTCCTAAAGGAAAGGATGAACTGGAAAACAGGGAGACTTTCCAGCCTTGACTGGCCAGGCCCCTAGATTGTTAAGTTAAAGTAAGATCCAGCCTAACCAGGGCCTTCTTAACACTTAGGCCCTCTTAACACAGGGCCTGGGGCCTATCATCTTTTTAAGGACCCAGCAAATGTCTGAAAACTGAAAGAACACAGAGGAAAATTGCAAATCAAGATTAATAAATGTTTAATTAAAGATCTATGAAATGTAACACCATGTCAACTTCATTAATTGTTAAGTTTGGTATTCATGAAAGTTTAATTACCTAAGAATTAGAAAGGAAAAAATCAAACTTATTATTCACAGTTACTATAATGGTTCACATAAAAAATACAAGGGAATCTATATACAAACTGTATCAGTCAATGGAAGTTGGATTATGTTGTGGTAACAATCCTGAAACATCAGTGACTTAACACAACAGCAGTTCATTTCCTTCCTATGCAGTCTGTTGAAGTTCTGAGTGACTCTCTACTATGTAGTGATTCATCAACCCAGACTCTGCTATCTCAAAGCTAGGTGTCCACACTTACTTCAGCTGGAGAAGAGAAAGATGAGAAAAATCATGCAGGAGCTTTCCACTGCTTCAGTCTAATAATGACCCACGTCACTTGCACTCCCATTTCATTGGCCACACTGGTCACATATCCCCTTACTGTAGGGTACTTAGAAAGTGTTGGCTTTTTTTTTTTTTCTTGGTATGCTCAGGGAGACCTAGTAATATCTATCATGTAAACTATTCAATTAATAAGAGCTCAACAAGGGAATTCCAGAAAAACATCTGCTTCTGCTTCATTGACTATTCTAAAGCCTTTGACTGTGTGGATCACAACAAACTATGTAATAATATTCTTAGAGATGGGAATACCAGACCACTTTACCTGCCTCCTGAGAAATCTGTATGCAGGTCAAGAAGCAACAGTTAAAACTGGACATGGAACAACTGACTGGTTCCAAATTGGGAAAGGAGGACATCAAGGCTGCATATTGTCACCCTGCTTATTTAACTTATATGCAGAGTACATCATGAGAAATGCCGGGCTGGATGAAGCACAAGCTGGAATCAAGATTTCCGGGAGAAATATCAATGACCTCAGGTACTCAGATGACATCACCCTTATGGCAGAAAGTGAAGAGAAACTAAGGAGCCTCTTAATGAAAGTGAAAGAGGATAGTGAAAAAGTTGGCTTAAAACTCAACATTCAGAAAACTAAGACCATGGCATCCGGTCCCATCACTTCATGGCAAATAGATGGAGAAAATGTAGAAATGATGTCAGATTTCTTTTTCTGGGGCTCCAAAATCATTGTGGACAATGACTGCAGCCATGAAATTAAAAGACGCTTGCTCCTTGGAAGAACAGCTATGTCAAAAACCTAGACAGTGTTTTAAAAAGCAGACATCACTTTGCTGACAAAGGTCTGTATAGTCAAAGCTATGGTTTTTCCAGTAGTCATGTATGGATGTGAGAGCTGGACAATAAAGACGGCTGAGCACCAAAGAATTGATACTTTCGAAATGTGGTGCTGGAAAAGACTCTTGAGAGTTCCTTGGACATCAAGGAGATCAAACCTGTCAATCCTAAAAGAAATCAACCCTGGATATTCATTGGAAGGACTGATGATGAAGCTGAAACTCCAGTACTTTGGCCACCTGATGCAAAGAACTGACTCACTGGAAAAGACCCTGATGCTGGAAAAGATTGAAGGCAGGAGGAGAAGGGAGCGACAGAGGGTGAGATGTTTGGATGACATCATGGACTTGATGGACATAAGTTTGAGCAAGCTCTGGGAGTTGTTGATAGACAGGGCCTGGCATGCTGCAGTCCATGGGGTCGCAAAGAGTCAGACATGACTGAGCGACTGAACAATAATAACAGCAAGATCAATATACCCAAATCAATAGCTTCCCTATACATCTGTAACAATTAGAAAACGTACATTTGAATAGATGTCAGCTTAAAATGCAACCAAAGCCATTAGAACAAATCTAACAAAAGTTGCACAAGCTCTTTATAGAGATAATTATTAAACTTTATTGGAGAATAGAAAAGATGTTAGTCCTCTCCAAATTAATCTATAGACCAAATGCAAATTTGATTTAAACACAGAGTTTTCAGTGGTGATCAGTAAGCTGGTTAAGTTTGGGTATTTCTGCATGATATTACTAGAGCATAATTCAAAGTTACTGCAAGAATCAAAAGCAGGTAGCACAACAGAACAAGGTCAGACAGAGATGTCTGTAAAGACAGTAACAAAATGGTCCAAAAGGTATTGTGACTCAGAATACAAAGTCCACCGGGAGGTAAGTGAAAACTGCCTCCCAAACGTGGTTGACTGTATGTCCCTCTCAGTTCAAGGAGCCTAAGACCCAGGAGGTAGTGAGATATGGAGGATGGGGAAAGGAAGCAGATTATGGGGAAAGTAAAATCATAAAGAGAAATGTCTACTTTTGACCTTGAGCCTTAACCACATCCATGTAATTTATGCACAAAGGATTTACTCTTATATATATTTTTTGAAATGGAAAAATCCATACACATCATGTTCCCTCAAGGGTCTGAACACTTGCAAATCACTGGCTACCTAATTCCTTTCACCTATATTTAATTAGTCAAAGAAGCGGGTCATGAAATGGAGATTTCTCCACCTTCAATAAATAAAACACAATTTTCTTAAAAAATTATAGATTTATATCCAGTTTTCTTTTTGATCCCCGTTACATCAGTGACAATGAACAAAGTAGCTCCTTAGTATTTGCTCTGAAGTCAGTTGCTTTGAATGCATGTCAGGTAATCCTAAAAACAAATTCCACAAACCTTTGTGGGGACTCTCAGACGAATTCTGAGCATGAATACAAAGAGTGTTTCCACAAGGAGCCGTGTGCCTCACACCCCCACTGTAGGCTACCGTTAGAGCAAGACAGTGCTGACATGCCTGTGTGCTGTCTATCCACATTTCACACAAGTCTGTGTCAACAGCAATAACCTGATCAGAGGAGCCTTAGAGGCCTCTGAGAGTCACTCCTTTGTTCATTCATTCATTTGTATCAAATCAGCATCAGACTCTTAATATGCACAAGACACTATGTTAGGCTCTGGACACCATCTATTTACAGGTCTGCCAAGTTTTACAATCTATTTTCTTTGTTAGAAGAACCAGCAAGGACATAACACCTCTCAGGGAGGGACTGTTCTACTTAGCATTGGAAATTGTGCTGTGGCTCAGCAGGGAAAATAGATCACTAAAGATTAATAAAGATCACTACAGGCTAAGGAGGTTCTACGTTCTCATTTATCCCAGAATGACCCTGGGACTTCAGTCTGAAATTAGTATAAGGGTAATGGGGGTAATGCCTTCTCTCTGGGTATAATAATGGCACATTTCTAGCAAAACTGATGGCCGTAGATATGGGACAAGGGAGGTCCTCTGTGTAACGGAGGCTAGAAAGTTCTGTGTCTACCTGTGAGCAGGATTCATGGAGAAACCATTCAGCCCTCTGCGCCTCAGTTTGCTCATCTGTAAATCAGGGACAGCAGTGTCCTCTTCTAAGGTTATTGTGACAAATAAGACACCATGAGAGACATGCAATCAACGCAATGTCTGCCACGAGGCAGGTACCCAGATAAGCACTGAAGGAACACACAAACAGGAATGGGAAAGTAGCTCGTGTATCAGTAGAAGTTGGAGAATAGGACACAGCCCCAGGAATTCCACAAAGGAAAGAATCGGTCTTTTTCTTCTTACTCTGTTTCTCTTTCTTTCTGCCTTGGGCCAAGTTGGGCCAGGAGGGTCACCAGAAAGACCCAATGCTGAAAAACTAACTTTTCTGAATTATTGGGGACACATGAGAGGAAGGGGTTACAGTGCTTTTTGAAATTGCTCAATCAAATAGGATAGTCCTAGGTCTACAGAAATTCCATAATTTCAAATATTCTTCATTAAAGATACTTATACTGAAACAGTATATAACCTTCCTGCCTGCAGTAATAGCTTAAGAGGTTGGGGGTGTTGAGGGGGAGGACCACAAAGTCATGTACTCTGGGCTCAGCACTCAACAAAGAGCTTTGAGAAGTTAACTGCCACTGTCTTTGAGGAACTTGATCTCTGGTCTCTTTCCTCCCTCACCATGATTTTACATGCTCTGCTCTCCAAATAGCTTGGAGAGTTGCCATGGAAGATGATTTGTATATCTGTAAGAACTTCAAATGTCACAGCCATCCTTCAAACAACTTCAG